CTCTAGTATTTTTAAATCAGGGAGTTCTTGGGGATGGGTCAGGCCTGAGCTGGGCATGGATGTCACAGGCTGGGGGACACAGGGAAGGTGCCCTGTGACCCAGGAGGGTCTGTGAGGGTCAGTGTCCCACTGCCCTTGGTTCTCAGGCCCCTCTAACCCCCCTGGGCAGGGCTGGAATGAGTTCCTCCAGCAAGGAGTGAGCCAGATGCCATGTCCATGTCATGACTGACCTGTAAGAACAACCACAGGTGGAAATTTATATGTGAAAATGGCTCAAAGCTTCCTGTCCCACGAGAGTCCCTGCAGAGGAGTCCAGGTGGGTGCAGTGGGATGTTCCAGGTGATGCTGGGTGCAGTGGGATGTTCCAGGTGATGCTGGGTGCACTGGGATGTACAGGTGATGCTGTTTAAGGAGCAGCAGGATGTACAGGTGATGCTGGGTGCAGTGGGATGTCCCAGGTGATGCTGTTTAAGGAGCAGAACCAGGGCTGGGTGCTGATGCAGATCCCTGGCTCTCCCTCCTGCAGTGGGAGTTTCGCCTCTCCAGTGCCACCCCCGTGTCACCCAGGATGGTTTTGGTGTGGCAGTGTTGACTCTGTGACCCAGCTTTGTGCTGATGCTGCTCCTTTTACAGCTTGCCCTGGCCAGGTGAGGGGGTGATGCTCCTTTATTTATCAGGAGGGAGGGAGGGAGGCTGTGCCATCAGGAATGTCCCCGTGTGTGCTGCCAGGGTGTCACAGCGAGGGCACAGGGCTGCAGCTGGCAAGGCACAGCCTGGGGTGGGAGGCAGCACCAGGACGTTGCTGTGTGCCATGTCAGGGGAAGAAAATGTGCAGAGGAAAATGTCAGTGAGGTATTTTTATTACACGGTGAGAGGGGTGGTGTGATGCAATTGCAAACGGGAGGCCCCGGTCTTCTCGTGCCTGTGTTTTCTCATGCAAGTCTTTATAGATGCTGCATGACTTTCAACTCTGCTCTTATCTCTGCCCCCAGAGGACATAATTATTGCTAGTCTGACTATGCCAGTACAAATGTTTGATGGTGAATAATATTTTTGAGAACTGAATTGCCACTTGTTTCCTAATTAAAACCCAACCTCCTCATCATGTCAGCTATTTGCAAAAGGGAACATGATGATGATAAGCTACACTGAGGCTTTACCTGTCTGAGGTGGCTGAAGTGGCTTTGTTAGAAGTATTCAGGAGCAAGCAGGAGGGATCCTCAGAGATGCAAAAGAGCCACCCTGCTTCTCTGAGGAGCTCCCCTCACCCTGGGATTTGGGGTGCCAAATGCAATTGCACTGAGAGGGCAGAGGCTGCCTTCTGCAAAACTGCTCCTCCTGGAACAGGCAGTGAATAAAAGCAGCAGCAGCCGTGGCCATTAATTACTCTATTTGTTCTCCACATTGCCTCTCACCACTTATTAGCACAGCGCCAAGGAGATGGGATGCAACCCCAGGCTGGGTGTGGATGCTGCAGAGGAATGAATGAATGCCTGTGGGATTGCCATGGATGTGCCACTGCAGGGCAGAGGGGACAAAGCCACCCCAGGGCCTGGCAAAGAGCAGAATGTGACAGGCAGAGGGGATGGAGTGAGGCTGCTTCTTTGGGATTTTGGGCTAAGGCCACTGGAGTGGTGAGGATGCAGGATGGGGAGTGCTGGCATTGGAATTCCCAGGAATGTATTTGTATTTCATCCAGGCACTGATGAATCCTCACACAACCTCATTAAGCAGGAGCTGTTTCCCCTCCAGGTAACCCTGTGCTTCGGAGCTCCTTGGGAACACTGAGGTGAGTGTGGGGAAAGGGGTTCTGCCCTCTCCCCTTCAGTCAGGCACCCCAAAAGTACCAGAATGCAGCAAAACATAACCTCACTATAAACAAGCCACAGAGAGTCAGATTCCCATGGGGATCCATCACCAATAAATGATTCTCCACCAGTGCTGCTAAGGAGGAGCAAACAATTTGTCCTCTCTCCAGAGAGCAGCAGCCCATGGAGGGAACTGAGCTAAACACTCCTCGGTGCTCTTAATCTCCACCTATGTGCATTTCTGGCAGCGTGTCAGAAATATTAGTAAAAATCATATTAAAAATAATATTTAATGATCTTTTATGTGAACATCCCCCTGGAGAGATGTTGCTGGCATCAGCACAGAGAGGAGATCTTATTTGATATGGGATTTGGCACAGCTTGGAGGGCAACAGGACGGATGAGGCTCCGTCCTGGGTAATGTGTTGCAGCATTATCTTGATGGGATGGTGTCAGTGTGGGACGCATTAATAAATCTACAACAGCCCCGTAGCTCCCTGGAACATCATCTGTCACGCTGCGAGGCAGAGCAGGGCGAAATTAAACATTTAAATCTCACACAGATGGTAGGAGGAACTCGCTCCTCGGAAGGAAGGAGCAGCAGAGGGGAGGTTGGGTTCCTGGCTCCACAGTGGATGCAGAACCTGCAGCCCAGCCAGGCCTGGAGACACACGCAAATTGATTCAGCAGAATCCATCACCATCCCCAGAAATGTCAGGAGATGCTTAAATGCATTCAGAGTGTATCGTGTTCTGACCTCTGCCAACCCTGGCATCTATTAACTCTGGGTTTCCTTTACCTGGGGGAATCCCCAGAGCGCCGTTTATAAACATTCACAAACACCAAACCCCACACAGGAGGCACAAAACAGCACAAGAACAACGCAAACACTCGGCCTGGGATGCAACACAGGCTGAGGAAAGCTGCAGGCTTGCACTTGGGGGATTGAATTTCCCTGAAAAGGAGGAGGCTGGCACTGCCTGTTCTGCTCATTTCGGGAAAAAAAATCAGGTTTGATTCCACTCTGTTATTAAAAAAGACCCGTCCCAGTGACCTTTAAAATATCTGAATATAACACTAAAAAATGCACGTGTTGCTAGAGGTGAGCACGCACAGCCTGATGTGGGCTGCCTCCACAGCCAGGGTGGCTCTGGGGACATGCCACCACCTCTGGCTGTGCTGCAGCCACGCTTGGGAAATCAGCAGAGCAGAAAACACCTTTGCTTATCACCCACCACCACCCTGGTGGCTGCTGCTGCCACACCAGCACCAAGAGCAGAAAGAAAAAAATTCCTTAAGTTGGCCCTCACCAGACCTCACTTCCTAGAAACTGTCACCAGGAATGCTTTTGACGTCTGCACAACATGAATATCCAGGTAATAATGGTGAAAATGTGGCACAGCAGCAAACAGGAGAGCATTAGGAACACTAAGGGGCAACTTGGTGGCCGCTTTTGCTGTCACCAACAGTGTAAAGCCATGCAGACCTCTGAGCAAACACAGGGCCCTCCTCACCAGGGTGATGGTTTCTGTTTGCCTGGGGTGTTTAGCAACACCCTCAGGTCGGTGCTGAGATCCTCCCCGTGTGCTGCTGCTGCTGCTCCAGGGAATTAAACCTGTCTCTTCCCGTGGATTTGGGCACAGGGGCTGCAAAACTGGGGAGTCCCCTGGGAAGAGCCAGCACAAGGCATGTGCCCAGCCACATCACCAGGCTGAGGATGTGGGGAGAGGAATTTCCCTCCCATCACACCCCTGTAAATGGAGAGCTCATGTGGAGGCTCTGGAAGAACTTTTGGAGAACCACAGCCAGCCCTAGCAGCCCAGGGGATTTCAGGATATAAAAATACCCCTTTCCATGGTGTAGCTTGGATCAGTGAAACCCTTAAACAGGGCTGGGGGGACACTTGACCCTGAACTTCTAGGAGGAGCATACCCTAAGTCTTCCTCTGCTTCCTTCCACATTTGCTTGGACACCCTGAGCCTCAGCCTTGCTCTGGGGCCACTGGTGGAGGAGAAACCTTCCCCAGTGGATGTGTTCCGGTGGAAAGTGTTGGCTTAAATTAACATTTTCAACAAAAAGCAGGTTCTCAGACGGTTCATAATGAGGCACATGGTGAAATCCTCCCAGCTGTATGCTCTACCTCGCTTTAATCAGATCATTAACTTTCATAAAGATGTAGGCAGGAGGAGTGGCGGCACTTGAAAAGAACTCAAAACACGCTGAGTTTCAAACTTCAGACTTGTCATTGACTTAGCCTTTCATTGAGCCAATTATTTATGACATATTTGACGAAATTCAGAAAAGAAAGCACTTAAAATCTGCATATCTGCTTGGCTGCAGTGGAGCTACTACTACTTGAAGGAGGAACACGAGCAGGGATCTCTGCTCGGAGCCTGAGGACACCTGGGTGCCTTGTTTTGCATCATTATTTGCCAGCAAGTGGTTACACGAGCACCGATGGGGTGTCACACAGGCGCATTTATTTGTATCCTGTTTTTGTTATGCATGCCTTTTAATAAATTATGAGGAAATTAATTCCGAACTTATGCGTCCAACTGGGTGCTGAGGCTTGCAGGCAGCTCAGCGCTCCGCGGCTGGGGCTGGCTCTTGTGGAACCGCGGAATCCCGCAGAAGTTTGGGTTGAAATAACCTAAAATTCCCAGCCGACCCCTTTACCATGGACACTTTCCACTATCCCAGGGTGCTCCAAGCTCCGTCCAACCTGGCCGGGGACACTTCAGGGATCCAAGACGCAGAGCGGGTCCCCGGTACCGCGAACCCCGCGGGCGCCGTGGCCGCTCGGTGCCGGTGCCGCGGGCTCTCCCCGCTCCGGCCGCCGCCGATCCATGTCGGGATTTGGGGCGGCGCCGCGGGGCAGCCCGGTCCGCCCGCCCATGGCACCGAGCGGCGGGCCCGGGGCCGCGGGGGCCGCGCAGGCTGCGAGCGGCGGGGGTGGACCGGCCGCCGCCATGGGCCCGGCGGGGGCGGGCGGGCGCTGAGGGGGGCGCGGCGGGGGCTCCCTCCTTCCTTCCCTCCCTCCTTTCCTCCCTCCCTCCCTCTGCCGTCCGTCTGTCCGTCCGTCCCTCCTGCCGCCCGCCCGCCCCGGGGCGCAGGGCGGGAGGCGGGAGCGGCCCCCCGCGCTCCGCACACGCGCACCGGGAGCCGCTCGGCCGTACCGGCGGAGCCGCCGCCGCCGCCCGCCGCCAACCCCCGCCCCGGGGGCGGCTGCCCCGGCGGAGCCTCCATCTGCAGCCCGGCGGCGGAGCGGGAACATGGCGGACCTGGAGGCGGTGCTGGCCGATGTCAGCTACCTGATGGCGATGGAGAAGAGCAAGAGCACCCCGGCGGCCAGGGCCAGCAAGAAGATCACCCTGCCCGAGCCCAGGTACCGCCCGCCCCGCCGCGGCTCCGGCCCGGCCCCCGCCGCCCTCCCCGCGCCGGACATAACGGTCCGGCCGTGCCCCCGCGGCCTCCGCCGGCACCGGGGCCGGCCTTGGCGAGCGCGGGGCCGGGCTGGCTGTGCTGGATGTGCTGCATGCGTGTGTTTATTTGCCACAACTTGTGCGGGGTGTAGGGGGAACGCCGGTCCCTGCAGGGACGAAGCCCCGCAGCTCGGGGGTTTATGGCTCCCCAGCCCGGCGGGTGAGGAATTCCCGTCCAAAGCAGTCGGTGGCACCGAGCGGAGCCGCTGTGGCCGTGCCGCTCTGCAGAGCGGTTTTTTGTTGATGCTTCATGGGGTTTGACGGGATGCGGGAGGAGGACGGGGCCGGAGCTCGCCCTTAGCAGGCGGCTCACGGAGCCGAGGTGCCGGTGCCGGTCTGGGCTCCTTCGCCCCGACCTTGGTGGTCCCACCGCAGGAGCAGCCGGGTGCCCTGGCACAGCCGAGGTTGTTTGCTTGGAGCTTGGTGCTAAAAGCAGCTTTTCTTCTGCAAAGACAGCTTTTTTTCCCCGTGGTTGTGTGTTTGTTATAAAATCACCTGAGCATCGCTTATTTATTGGTGAAATTAAAACGGAGCTTTTCCCTTTTTTCGTGGCTCTGTGTGTGTGTGTATACATATGTAAAACGAAGATTCAGCCAGCAAACAAAATACTGCAACAGGAAAAATCTAAACCAAATTTTACTGCAGAATGTGTAGGCAGTTTGGAAGCCTGCTGGTGGCCTAGCCTAGCTGTCTGCTGTGAGCCAGGGATCGCTGGAGCCCTCTTCCCACTTCTCCACTCGTTTTCCTGCCTTTCTGCTGGAATGCTGGGAGGCTGCAGAGCAGGGGAAGGTGAAGGATGCCCAGCCCATGTTTATCCCCCTTGCAGGGGCAGTGAGAGCTCAGGTGATGAAGTTTGGCTGTTGTGTTTAAGGTCAGGTTGAGGATGGTGTTGCTGGACGGTGCCTGCTTTTCTCCTGGTATGTGTTTACACTTTAAAAGCCATACAATATCCATGACATTTCATCTGCCCTGGTTAGCCCGAGGTGCAGCTTTGCTAGGGGTGCTGGTGGCTTCATATGATGTTGGTGATGTCCTGCTCCCTGTTCCCAGCAGGGACATGACCCTGAGGGCAGGTGAAAGGTGGGATGTGGAGAATTGCAGGGCAGGAGGAATCCTCCCAATGCCATGAGGAACATCAGCAGGGTTGGTGCTTGTGGAGGGGCTGGAAGCTGCTGCCTGCTCCGAGCACAGCACAAGGCCTGAGGAACCTGCTGTGCTTTGCTCTCCTGCTCCAGCATTTACGTGTTTGGTGGTTTCCCTGAGCTGGGAGAGGTGCTTCACCTGTGTTTGGAAAGGCAGCCAGGTGGCAGAGGAAGTTTTGCAGGGAAGGCGAAAGGATCGCTGGCCAAAGTGCCTCGCTCCTTGGGCTGCCTGTGGAAGGACCTGTTGGAGGTCATGGCTTGCCACCCTCCCTGGTGTGTGATGCCCTGGAGGAGGTGAGAATCCTTCAGAGAGGAGAGGTTTGGGGCTGTACGTGGTGCTGTGGGGCAGGGACACACCAAGCCCTCAGCACAGGAGCGGAAGGAAGCACGGACATAACCGAGAACAGGGACTTACCTCAGCCCGGGACCACAAACGGCTCTGGGGTGCCCAAAATGACTGAACCTCTCAGCTTCTAACTGAAACCAGGGGTTTCCTCATGCAGTAGGAAATTGTGACCGTTATTCTGGTGTCAGATATCTTTGTCCTGGCTTCTGGCTGTTTTTTTTTGATGCCTCTCATTAGAGCAGACATGGTGTGCTGGGTATACTGAAATATTCTGTATCGCTGGCAAAGTGATTCATTTAAAATGACATAAATCGGCTGGTTAAAGGCAGGTTGATATAGTAACAGGAAAAAAAAATACAACACACAGAGTCCTCTCTTGTTTGAAATCAAACAATTTTTCCAGATATTCATTATTTCTGTGTGTGTGTGAGCAGCTCCTTGGAGGAGCCTGGCTCTGTAACATTGGGTGTGCAGCCATCCCTGCCATCAGTCCTGGCTGTCACTGGTACAGAGAGCAGGAAGGTCACTGGAATATCGCATCCATGCTTGAGAATAAATGTCCCTGCATTATTGCAGTGCTCTGCTCACAGGAAGGTGTTGGTTTATCTCTGGTGGGCAACCACAGCCCAGGGACGGGTCCTGTGCCCTGGTGTTATCTCCTATTGAAATATTAGAAATGTTTTACCCCTTGTCTCCTTGCTGGAGCCCTGTACACCTGTCGGCACCCTTTTATCTTTCCCAGATAAGGCTGAGGTTAAATGAAGCAAATGAGTTTACTGTAATGCAAATTTGAGGGGGCTTCCTGTTTACAAGGAAATAGCTGTAGTGCCGGCAGAATGAATTCCAAGGCTGCAGGCCAAGGCTTAGCAGCAAATAAACTATGAGGGTGAAGAGTTTATTGGCCGTAGGGCTGATTATTGCTGAGTTTTCCTGAATTATCCTCAGACTGGTTTTGTCCTGAAATCGTTAAATATCACAGTTTGAGGAGGAAGCACAGAAAACACTAATGAGCCGGGGAGTGCCTAAGGAAGAGGATTAGTGTGTTTTTGTTTTTTTTTTTTTTAAGCACCAAAACAAAACAACCCTTCTTCCATCCTCTGTCATCTGCTTTTCCTTCCCTTCTGCATTTCCTCCTTTCGTTCCTAAGAGCCTTTGCCAAGAGCTGTGAGAGCTGTGGTATCTTTGTGTTGTACATTGTTTCCTAAAAGCCTGTTTTTCAGGGAGATTCGCATGGGTGGGCAGAAAAGCTGTCAGAGGCAGAATATCCTGCTGAAATCAGGCCTGGAATGGGAAGGAAGTCAGCCCTGTGGAAATATGAGCAAATATGAAACCTAAATGCTATCCTGCAGCGTTGCTCTCAAATATCTTGAGTTTTGGTGGGAAACGAGTAAATTAACCTCATTCTGAATTTTTTTGGCTATTCAGCAGGCTGCTGAGGGTTTTTACTTTTCCATGTCGATTTTACATTTCCCTTATTTTGGTCAGAGGGAGTGGAAGAGCACTTGTAGAACAGCTGTTTTTATTTGCCAGCAGCTTGTTCTGGTTTGAGTAAAGGATTTGCGTAATGCGAAGCTGAGAAAAATGGTCCAAGAAATCAGGTAACAAATGGGAGAGGGTTCAGGGCTTGCAGAAGCCTCTTGTGTGCGCCTCTGGAAAGTTGACATTAAACCTTTCTTGCTATAAACATCACGTAAGCTTTGGGTGCTTTTGGTATACAAATACCACGGGCATGGTAACAAAACACAGCATCCATCTGTCCAGGCTTCTCTCCCTCAGGCTGTAGATATTTCTCATCCCATCTCTCCTTTTCTAACCTGCTTTCACTAATTACCTCTATTTCAAGTTAATTCTGATTTTTCTCCCACTCTTTTTCATTGGTCTCCTCTGAATCTTGTTCTGCTGGGGGAAAAGGGAGCATGTTGCAGTCACTTTTTTCTTAAAAATCATGTTTTAACATGACATTTTTCCTCAGTTATCTTCCTATCCTCACTTCATTTGTAGGGGTGAATTCTGGCCCCCGGTACCCATCTGCTTCTCATAGGGTGATGTGCCCTTTGATTTCTCGCCCAGTATTCAAACTGGCTTGTTAAAATTCTCATTAAAGGTTATTGAAAATACAGGGGTTAATTTGCCTTCCCAATTCTATCCTGAGCTATTTGTAATTTGTGCAAAATATTGTTGAAATCCAAGCGACACCTCCCGCTCAGGGTTAAGCATCCTTGCTCTGTTCTCTCTTGCTTCTGATTTTGTAATTCTCTTCTCTTGGCCTTACTTTGCTCTTTCTGTGGATTTCACTTCAGTCTTTGAGGTGGCCTTCAGGGAGTTCTTGCACCTTGTGGAACTCGTGTAAATCTCCGAGTTGCAGGCTCACATTGCCCTGTCTGTGCTGTCAGTCTGGGTGATTTTGGTGGTGTTTTCTCTGGCGTTGTTTAACGCCTCCGTGTTGTGTTTATTCATTTACCCTGCTGTCTCTGGGAGCGTTTTCCTGACAATTGCTTGTGTAATTTTCATTTTTGTTGCTGTTCCGCCCGTGTCAGCCCTCTGTGTCTCTCTAGGTGCTTCTGTGTTGCTGTAAGAAAACTCTTCAGTTTTGGGTAGCTCCTTCCAATCAATGCCCGAGAACCCTTCCCATGAAGAAATTCTTCCTGACATCCAAAATCTGAAGCTTAAATGAGTAAACTGAAGATAGTGTGAAAAGACCCACGTGAGGGTTCATTGGGAGCTGCTTGAAGAAGGGGAAGAATTTGCTTTTCTCTGAACTAACAGTACAATAAAGGCTGAACACTTGTGATTTTTGGTGGATTAGCTCAGGGTGAGACTGAGCAGTGAAATTTTGATTGGAAATTCAGCCTCCCTTGCTTTGCCATCAGCAGAAGTGTGTGGCTGTGAAGGCAGTAAGAAGTGGCTCTCTCCAAATAATTGGGTGTGCACACAGAGTGCTGGGGCTGCTGACAACGTGTGCTTGCTTTTTATCTCAAGTCAGCTTTGTACTCCAGCACTTTCTTGGGAAGAATTCATGCCTGGGGATGGATTATGGCCTGTCAGTGTAGGAGGATGTATGGGAGGGCTCCTGCTTGCTGTGGGTGCTGCTCTTGGCTCTGTTTGGGTGCTCTCTCTCTCTATTGGGAATTCAGATTTTACTGTACCTGCAGCATCCCATACCTTGATAACAGCAGAGCACAAGAGGATGAAAGCCCTTTGCAGAGCTTTAAGGCACAAGGAATGAGAGTCTGGATGAAGGACAGCTTGTTATTTATTATCTGCATTGCACAGATCAGGAGCCAGTTAGGAAATACCTGATGTGCCTTTGTTCACCTTGGGCAGGTGCAGGAGTTGAAGCTGAATTTTCTGAGCCTCGGTGGAGACCCTCAGCTGTCTCAGCTGCTGAGCATCCAGAGCTTGGAGCATCTCTGGG